TAAGTCCTATAATGGCATGCCTGCATCACAGGAAATAATCTAGAGTATTAAAGAACTCTCCAAAACAAGCTGCATAATTGATACTCCTCCCATTACATAAATAGCAGTTACTTTTAACTTTAAAAATTAAATTTGGATTATAATAATATCAACCTCTTATAAGTAAACCAAGTAAGAACTTACCTCGTCCACCTCTACTACCACTTCTGCTTTGGTAACTGTCACCATTACCTATAAGGTATTGTTTTACAGAATATTTAGAAAAAAAAATAACTCCTCCTTAAATATATAGATGTTATGCCTATTTCTCTTCGACAAAGAGTAATTACTTAGAATTCTTTGCCCCTTACCCCATCTATCTCTTAATTCTAGATTAAATTTAAACCTTACCTCATTTGAATATTTTTCATCAATAACTGTGTGGTTTTTGCACTTTCTCTTCAAGTTATTTTCCCCTAACTCAGAATCCTTTCTTTGAAATCAATGAAAGTTTCATCTCTTTTTTATTATTTTCATATTACATTTAATCACATATATCTTTACAATGTATCATTTATTTTGTCCAGCATAATTATCATGCATATCAGTCAAGACAAAGACATTATTATCCACATCAGCAGCAGCAAATAGCTTTTCATTTTTTCAGATGATTCTTTTCTAAATTCTCTTTATTATTATTTTTAAACATTTAATCACAATACATCATTTGGCTTGTAAAGAGAATTTACCCAACATGAAATATTTCTCAGATGAGTCCGACAACTGATCTATTTTCTGTACATTGATTTATTCTTCCTATAGTTCCATATACAAGGAGTCATTATGGAAATTTTTTATACTTATATTTTTTATTATTATTCATAAATTAAATTGCTATCCATCATTTAGATTGTGAAGAGACTTTACACAGCATGATATAGACCTCAGTCCAGCCCAGTTGAGCCCACCATACACATCCTCGTCAACAGATAATAAACCTTATCTGTGTCCCACAAGTGTCTTACCTCTCCATTTTCCCCCAAATTTCCTACGTTCTTCCCCTCTCACATTGCAAACATTGTCTCTAGTGTCCATTACAATTTTTAATACTTTTAATATGAAAGTTTTATTTCTTTCCTTCAATTAAAAGTACAATTCACTTCTCAAATTAATTGGTGGAGAACACAGAATAATTCGTAGTGCATAAACATTATCAAAGACAAAATTTTCCATTTTAGCCAATAGATTTAAAAAGTAGACAAAATCAGAGCTAGCCTAGTATACTTACATATATATTAGACTTATTCATCCTAATTCTAAAAGTATATAATAAAGAATTACTATTCAACATTAAATTTTATTTCTCACCTGTGCCACTTAATGTTGGTCGTCTTGAACCAAAAAGGCCACCAGTGCGCTGCATGCTCTCATCTTGTTCAGATTCATTGTCTTAATTTGTAGAAAATAAAATTAGGTGTTACTTCTAAGAAGTTTTTAGTCATTCAATAAAGAGGGGGGGAAAAAAAGGTTATGATGCCAGAAGTTAAAATAAGTGGAGTAAAAAATTGTGTAACAAGAATCATAATGAAGGGGATCAGCAGGTGGCGTGGTGGTTAAGGTGCTGGACACTCCCACATGGCCAATCATGGTTTGAACCCCGGACCTGTGGCTTCCTTTCTCATGTTCCCTCTCTCTCTCTCTCTCTCTCTCTCTCTCTCTCTCTGTGTGTGTGTGTGTGTGTGTGTGTGTGTGTGTGTCTGTGTCTGTGTCTGTGTCTCCCTCTAGTCAAATTAAAACAAATGAGTATTCCTTATCCAAAATACTTAGACCAGAGTGTTTTGGATTTCAGGTTTTTTTCAGACATGGAATATTTTCAGATACATGAGATATCTTAGGAGTAAGACTTAAGTCCAAACACAAAATTCATTTATGTTTCATATACACTTTAAACACATGGCCTGAAGATCATTTTATACAATATGTTTAATAATTTTGTGCATGAAACAGTGTACATGAATTATTGGAAAATAAAGTTTGAGGCCAGCAAGTGGCATAGTGGCTAAGGCACTTGACTTCCATGTGGGTGATAGCAGTTCGAGTCTCGGACCCAGCAGCTTGAAGCTCATGCCAGGTACATGTTTATGTATGCCCAAAATACCAAGAGGAGACTGGAGAAGGGATTACAGTATAGCCATTTTCTTACTTGACATACAGAATCCTTCAAAATAACCACCTTGTTCATTATCACCAAACATAGTTGCAGCCCAGAGATTGGTTGTGCTAGGTATGCACAACCGTGAGTTTAGTCACTGGTCTAGTCCATTCTCTGTTGCTTAATAACCAAAGACCTGAAACTGGTTATTTATTTATCTTATATACACACAGGTATGTGTATATATAGGTATATACATATATGTAAGTATACATACATATTTATATAGATACATTTATGGAGGCCTATTTAGTTCATAGTATTGGAGACCCGAGGGCAAGGAGCCACATCTGGTAAGGGTCTTCTTACTGGTGTGTAACATGACAGAGAGCATCATGTGGGAAGAGAGAACTAGAGTGTGATGTGTCTGTGTCAGTGTAAGTTTCACTCCTTCTCATAAACCTACTGAGAGTCAATCATAGGGGTCCCATCCTAACCATCTCCCAAAGACTCACTTTGTTTTAAGACAGGGTCTCATTATGGTGCCTAGGCCTCCAGCTCAAAATTTTGCTATAGCCTCACCTAGTAGCTGGCATGACAGGCACATACCACCATGTCTGCCTTTAGGTTGGATAAGAAATTAAACCTCACATGTAGTCCCAACCTGCAGAGCACAGAGGCTCAGCTGGGCACACCAATGCATCTGAGCTAGGCTCTCTTATTCCCATAGTCAGATTAAGTTTCCCCTTACTACCATCACAGTACACAACTTGCAACACATGGACTCTTGTGGACACATCCAAACCATAGCCATCACTATGTTCCAAGCTTTGGCAAAAGCATCTTGGACATTCTTTATGCGAAATTCCTTTTGGAAACCTTCCATATTCACACCTCTGCTCCCTGTTGCTAGTATGCTATTTAAGAAACTTTTATACTTACTCTTTGTTGATCTAAGGATGCCCTAGTCACATGGCTGAATTAATGAAGTCCGTTTGAGAAAAAATAAATGGCATAAACATTATTTATGATAAGTGTTTCAGCTGAAGGGTATGTTTAACAGTTGTTGATAAGTAACAAAATCTGGCAGCTGCCATCCATTTGAGCTTCCTTGCAGTGAGCACTAGCCATTGGTACAAAATTGTTTGTAAAATCAGTCAGGAAAGATATCCCTGGTGATCCATGCCTTTTTATTAGCATAATAGCAGTTATTCTGTCCTTAGCAGCATGAATTCCTTTAGGGGCTGTCTCATGACCTATGGTCAGTGTCTTTCAGGGGCAATAATGCCAAAATAGTGATGTTTTATCAGCATAACAGATTTACTCTGATATTGGGTTTTCGATAGGGACAACCTCAGCAAACTCATCAACGAATTTCTCCCCTGCTCTGGAATCAACAGATGTTTCATCACTACAAATCATTTAAAAGGTAATGCTCTGTATTTTCTTAAATTTCTGCAACCAGTCTGTTGAATCTTCACAGTTCCCTTCAATTTTTGGTTCATCATGATAGATCATAGTTTAATAGCGTACCATCAAGTGGCGTGTATTTATAGTGATAATGAGAAATCCAACCTATAGACGCAGTCAAAATCTCCATTTGGAGACCAGCAGATGGCATAGTGGTTATGTCGCTGGACTCCCACATGGCCCACCGCAGTTGGAGTCCTGGACCTGACGGCTTCAAAATCACACTGGGCACATGTGCATGCATGCCCAAGATCCCAAGAGAATGGAGGAGAAGGGATTGTGGTATGGCCACCCTAACTTTCCCTCCTACTGTCTGTATGTGTGTCTCTCTGATAAGTACATGTGCCCTAAGGCAAAACCCCTAAAAAAAAAAAAAAAAAAGAAAAGAAAAGTTCATTTGTAGCTTCATACAGTGTTTTTCTAGTTTTCATTAACCTCTGCTCTGTTCATCGTTTTCAACCTAGAACATCAACAGATTGTCCTTGTGTTTCTTTAGGTCATAAATGGTGGTTATTCTAAGACCACAGTTCTCTAAGATGTTTCACACTTACATCACTGTCCAATTTCTTTAACAATTTGACTTTCATGCAATAGATAAACATAAATTTTCCTTTTTCTTATCACTGTTACCCACTGGGGTATCTGCAGTCCTTTCTGACATTTTCAACAATATCTTTACAGCGCAGACCAAAAACAAGCAAAAGAAAACAGTGAGGAATGCATGTACATTTTGGCCCCATGTGGAACATTGTTGGGAACCTGCCCTTGGCATGATATGGGGCATGTGTGCATGGGAAAATGTGGGTGTGCACGGAAGAGGTAAATGGCAGCTGATAGGGCTTAGGAGGGTCTTATTTCCCTTAGGGATTCTGAATATATTGTGTGTCGTGGGCTTGCATTTTAACTGTACCCTGTCACATGAGATGAGATACAGAATTTCCTACTTGTGGCATCATATCAACTCTCAAAAAATTTCAGAATTTTGGAGCATTTCAGATTTGGATTTTGGATCAGGAATACTCAAACTGCACTTACTCAAAATTCTATCTTATTAAACTTACCTTATAAATTAAGTTAGAGTCAATGCTATGCCAAAATATGATGTAAATAAAAGTTCAGTCTCCTTCAAAAAGTAGTACTACTACTGCCTCAGAAACTTCATATTGCATAATTTCACTGCTTATACTCCATAGGAGTGCTCCTTGCTCCCACTGTTGCTAAATTAAACCCTACTGATTCTGCACAGCAATTCTTTAGATTCCTACACATTTTTTAAGTGAAAATTCACCAATCAGCTATACATCTATTAAATCATTACTACAAATTAATTTGTATTTTTGGCTTCCAAATCCACTAATCTGTCCTTCTCTGTTAAGACACACATGCATTACAACAGTCACTTCTGAAGGAAGTACCTTAGCTCCAAGTAATGACTACTGGAGGAATTTTAGATAGAAAGCCACATTGGTGAAAGAAGGTATATGGCAGGGTGAAACTAAAACCATGTATACCACCTATTTTTAAGGTCAGCCATATTACCAAGACTCTAAAACACTCATTAAGTCTGCAATATTAAAGGACTAAGTCACACAAACCTCTAGGAAAATTCATATATTACAATGCAACCAATGTGTAATTACTTAGCTGTCTAAAAAAACAAAGTTATATACAATGTAATTAATTTGTTTCAGCCCCTGTGCTAGGCTATTCTCATATAATCCTCATTACAACTCTAAGTGATAAGTAATATCCTTCTTAACAAATAAAGCACACCATTTGCATCCCACTACTAACTTGGACTTCCTGGACCAAATCCTCCTCGGCAGCCTCGGAAACTACCTCTTCCACCTCTTCTGGATGGCCCTGAAGTTTCTGAATCATTTCCATCTTGATAACCTATGATATAAAACACAGATACGCACAAAAGAAAACATGAAACAACAAAAAATAAATCTTGGAGACATGATGGCCAAATTTAATGTAAGCCTTGCATAATTCAATAATTTTAAATATATTTAATGAATTTAATATATTTAATAAATTAAAATATATTAAAGTTACTAAATATATGCTATATTTGACCCACAAATGTTTAACTTTACTATAATAACACAGACATGGCTATCATTTAAGAAAAAACTGTTAGATCTGAATTAAAACTAATAATGACTAAGAGGAAAAAGAATCACTAAAATAAAACACTGAAAGTCACCACAACTGTACCATTAACTGGATTTCCATAATCCTAGACAGGTTAAATAAATCACAGGCTGGGAGCAGCACGTGGGATGGTGGTTAAGGCACTGGATTCCCACACAGCCAACTGCAGTTAGAGTTCTAGATCCGGCGGCTTGAAAATCACACCAAGTTCATGTGCATGCCCAAAATCCAGAGAGGAAAATGGAGAAGAGAATGCGGCATAGGCCATCGCCCCCAGAGAGTGCTTTCTCACTTTCCTCTCTCTGTCCCTCTCCAGTGAATCTACAAACATGCCCTATAGCAAAACAACAACAACAACAACAAAAAAAAAAACTTAAATATAAGTTTTTAATCTAAAAAAAAAACCATAGGCTTATATTTGCTTCCTATAGAAAACAGAAAACATCTTACCCAAAACAAAGAGATATGAGCATATGTAAAGCCAAGTTTCCTATTACAAACTATTCCTTTTTAATTCAATTGAATGCAAAAAACCAGTACAAACTATTCAAGTAAAATTTGATTCTACCTAAGGGAGAAGCAGATCAATTAAAAATACAAGTGCCAAATAAAGGAAATAAAGACAATGACACTATTTAATTTACAAATTTGCAACTATTTATACCTAACGAGAATGATTAAAAAGGTGAAAATTCTACACAAGCTATTTCTTGACATTATACATTATTTTAAAGCCTGTTTATGAAATGGGAGAAATTTACTAATTCAAAGTAGATTTATGGGGCCAGCAGGTGGCATGGTGGTTAAGGCTCTAGACTCCCACACAGCCAACCACAGTTTGAGTTCCGGACCTAATGGCTTGCTTTCTCACCCTCTCTCTTCTCTCTTGCGTGAGTGCACATGTCCTACAACAAACTTTAGTTTTCTTGAAATCAGTTTTGTTAGTTTAGGGTCTTTGTCTTAAAGATAAATTATTCCAAAACATAGTCCTTACCGCCTCTCTTGGAAAACCCTCGGCTCCGTGTTTGATTATCTTCACAATCATTATTAGACTCTTGAATAAAAATTTAACATGTGAATAGCATCTAAGTTAAACTTTAAAGATGTAGTAACTAAAGAACAGCACCATCACAGATTAGTAAGAAAACCAAATAAATATTTTCATAAGTTAAAAATATAAACATTTTAATTTTAAAATATTTTAACAGAAAAACGAGGCCATTACTCTGTCAACTCCCTATACAAATGATTAAATGTATCTAGATATTAAATGTTAAGCATATAATTGAGAATCCATTATTTACCAAATACTACACAAGACAAAGCAAGTCACAAAATAAGAACTTCATGAACATCAGTCTGACTAAAAATGACTTCAGGAATATACAAACTATTAGGGCTGGCAGATGATCTGGTGGTTACGGGCACTGGACTCCCCCACATGGCTGACTGCGGTTTGAGTTCTAGACCTGGCTGCTTTCTTTGTCACTTTCTCTCTCTCTCTCTCTCACTCTCTCCCTCTCTCCCTCTCTGTTCAAATAAATAAATAAATAAATAAAGTTAAATAAAATAATTCTAAAAAAAAGGAATATACAAACTACTAAGCAATCACATGGTTCTTATGTGTGGTCACAGACAACTAGAAACAACTAAATGTTCCATTCATAATGTGATCAAGTTTTTCTGTAGTTTACCATTACCAATAAATAAAACATTGGGATCAGCAGTTGGCGTAATGGCTATGTTGCTGGACTCACATGGAGTCGACCACAGGTTGAGACCTGGACCTGGCAGCTTAAACTCGTGCTGGGCACGTGTGCGTGCGTGCCCAAGATCCCAAGAGGGGAATGGAAGAGAAGGGATTGCAGCGTGGCCATCCCCCTGGGGCAGTTGGGGGTGGGGGACTTCTTGCTTTCTGTCCCTGTCTGTCTCTGTCTTTCTGGCGAGTGCACGTGCTCTATAGCAAAAACTTCTCCAAAAAAAGACAGATAGATAGATAGATAGATAAATATAAATAAATAAATAAAACATTGCAGCTTTCTTAAACAGATATAACTGTTTTTGCAATCATTCACATGAAATAATTTGGGCTATCCTAGCTTTTCTGTTTTCACTGACATCAACAAATAACATTACCAGGGATTTTAAACAAAGTACAAGAATCACTGCACTGGAGGCTGCCTAAGAATTATCTAGAGAGTTGGTAAAAATAAATTCCCAGGCCACATTATCAGAAATGTTGACTCTGAAAGTGTATACTAAAAGCAAGGAATAAACAATATTTCAAAGTTTAAAAGTTCTATGTCATTGGGGCCAGCAAGTAGCATGGTGGTTAAGGTATTTGGACTCCCACATGGCCAACCTCAGTACAAGTCCTGGACCTGGTGGCTTGCTTTCTTACTTTCTTTTTCTCTCTCTCTCCCTCTCTCTCTGGTGAGTACACATGCCCTCTAGCACATTTTTAAAATAATAAATAACATTAAATAAATAATTATAATTATAATTATAAAAATAATAAGTTATTAATGTAAATTAAATCTTTCCAGAAGATTTCAACAAAATCACATTTGGGAAATACAGAGATGATTTCAAAAGATCTTTGTACATGTAATTAACGTGTCATATCTGAAAACTGAAAGTCACAGCAATGACATCAAGTGGCTAAAAGCTTGAAGGTTACTGATGAAGTTCCTGTGGAAAATTACCAAACTATAAAACAATCAGTAGTTTTATAATAATCAATGACCCAGAGCTCTTGTTGCAGGCTCCTGTTTGAGTTATGGTTGACAATTGACAAATACTCCCTAAGAGCCATTTAACTGTCTTGGAAGCAGGATTTCAAACAAGGAAGAAGAACAGGAAAGAAAGAAAATTTAGAAGGTTGGTGCAGGAATGTCAGTAAGCTAACATTTACTATCTTAGAGGAAAAAAGAAAAAAAAATTAATTTGCAATATGGCAATAAGAAGAAAGTCTCACCTTACCTTTGACCAATTATTCCCCTAAAACAACCTATAGTTACTTTGACCCCACTGGTAATTAAAATGGAATAGTGACAGGAGAAATTAGGTGAAGAGTACTTATGAAAACTCCCTGAACTATCTTCACAATTTGCGAATCAAACAATTTTGAAACCAAAAGTTAGTATAAAAAATGATGTCTTTAGTGTTAGAAAATAAGCCAAGTACAAACAAAAATAAGATAATGATCTCAAGGTTAGTACAACCTATTAATTACTGATGACCCAATAATGACATCCAATCTAACGAATAGGAAACTATGGCTTAGAGAGATTAAGCAATTTATTCTACTGCCATTCAATTAGCAAGTAGCAGGAAGAGATTTGAAACAAAGTCTAGAATTCCAAAGTACACTGTTAAAAATCGACTCCATACTGCATCAACAAAGGATGCACTGAATACCAAGGATGCTTTTTAAATACAGGTTCAAGACATCACTCAAATCTACTCAATCAAATTTGAGAAAACACTTTTTATTATTATTGTTTTATCTTCTTGTAACTTCATTCTATTCTCATCATTTTCTGTATGTCCCTAAACCAGAGGGTCAGTACTCTACTGACCCTGAACTATTGTATGTGAAGTTTTAATTCTTTAAAAAGAATTATTTTATTTAACTTTATTTATTTTAATTTGACCAAACTGGGACAGAGAGAGGAAGTGAGAAAGGAAGATGCCAGGTCTGGGACTCAAACTGTGGTTGGCTATGTGGAAGCAGCACCTCAACCACCACACCACCTGCCAGCCCCCCAAGTCAAAAATTAAAACTTCAGGGACCAGAAGTTAGCGTAATGACTATGTCGCTGGACTCCCATGTAGTTGACTGCAGTTCAAGTCCCAGACCCAGTGGCTTAAACTCACACTGAGCGCATATGCATGCGTGCCCAAGATCCCGAGAGGAGAATGAAGGAGAAGGGACTGAGGCATGGCCATACCCCCTGGGGGGTGATTTCTTGCTTTCTGTCTCTCTGTCTCTGTCTTTCTGGTGAGCCCATGCACCCTATAACAAAAACCTCTCAAGAACTAAAACTTCAGGGGCTGTCAGGTGAGTGGTGGTTAAGGGCACTGGACTCCCACATGGCCAACCACAATTCTAGTCTCAGACCTGGCAGCTTGCTTGCTTGATCTCTCGCCGATCAAATTGAAGATAATAAAAAATAAATAAAATTAAATAAATATTTTTTTGAAAAAATAATAGAATAATTCTCAACTTGCTATTTCTACTGCCTATTCCTTTTTTAATATAGCAGAGCAACAACAACAAAAAAGATAGAACATCTTAATATTGATCTTAATATTTTATCATGCAAATTAATTAAGGCAGGTGACAATAGACCAAATTAGGATGCCTGAATTCTTTATGTACAAAGCAGTAACATTCTTTGTTAAAGGTCTAGATATAATTGCTTCATAAAATTGAGTTTAAATAAATTAGAATTTGCCCACACTAATATATTTAATCTCAGTTTTTCTTTAGCATATACTCTTGACATTAAATTTTTAAACATGACTACAGAAACAATGAACTTACCTCTCCAGAAGCCAGAGCTATCACCTTCTTGAAATTTGTTATGTGAAAAACCTGAAATATGAAATTAAATTTGCAAATTGCTGAAAACAATTTCTTGTACATACGTGGTAAAACAAATAGGGATTACTAGTTATAATGTCCCTTTGAAATAAGATAAACTATATACAACTAGATAGAGATATATAGATATGTATGCATATATGTAGTATGTATGATGAAAAAAATAACTCAGATTATATGACAGTTTCTCCCTAGTGTCAATTTATTAACCACATTCTCTAAATTTTTTTAAAGAATTATTTTACTTAACTTTATTTAATTTGACCAGAGAGACAGAGACAGAGACAGAGAGAAAGCCACCAGGTCCAGGACTCAAACCATGATCAGCCATGTGGGAGGAGTCCAGTGCCTTTAACCACCATGCCACCTGCTGGCCCCCCACATTCTCTAAATTTAAAAACTTACTTCTCAGCCAATTTTCTATAACCTCAATTGCCATGAATTCCTTTATATGTACATGGGCAAAACAGGTGTATATCAATTCAAAATATCAAAAATGTACTTTCAATTTCAAAATACCAAAAATTTTCAAATTTTACAAATTAACTCATAAATATCTTCATCCATAAGGACAAAACAACTAAATTATATGCCAGTATACTGTAATTTCCCCCTCCTTAGTAACACAAGAATTCTGTTAACTTCGTTTCCTCTGCCATTTAAAACAAACCAAAAAACTTCCATTGAGCTCTGCTTTCAATTGTTCATTTCATAAAAACCTATCTCTTAAGATGTAAGAATCTCTGGAGCATGAATCTCTAACATTAATTTTTAAGAAGCCATAACCAGGATTCAGGTCCTGGTCCTGTCTGCTTCATACCGGGCTGTATGCACATGCCCAGGATCCTGAAGAGAGAACTACAACATGATCAGACCCCGTTTCAGGGAGCTCGAGCTCGCTCTCTTTCTCTCTTGAATAAAAATGAATCAAACAAGCTTGTGGCTTTCCATCTACTTCCCTGGCTGCTCTCCCTTCATTAGAAAAAATTAATTTTGGGGCCAACAAGTGGCATTGTGGTTAAGGGCACTGGACTCTCACATAGCCAACCATGGTCCGAGTCCTGGACCTAGCAGCCTGCTTTCCCATTTTTTCCTTTTTCTCTCTCTGCCCTCCTCCCGGTCAAGTTAAAATAAATAAGGTTAAATAAAATAATTCTTAAAAAAAAAAAAGGAAAAGATAAGTTTTAAAAGCATCCATCAGGGAGCCAGCAGATGTTACATCACTGGACTTTCACCTATTTAACCATGGTTTGAGTCCCGGACCCAATGACTTAAAAAATCACACCAAGCATGTGTGCATGTATGCCTAAAATCCCAAGAGGAGAATGGAGGAGAAGGGACTGTAATGTGGCCATCCCCCTACGGGGTGATTTCTCACTTTCTGTCTCTCTTTGTCTCTCTGGTGAATGAACACACTCTATGGCAAAAATCTCTCTAAAAAAGGCATCCATCAGTAATAACGTAAAAATTAAGATCTGTTAAATCTTTCAAAAAATCAGAAGTACACAATGCAAAGCTACTCAGGGAATATATACCTTAAAATTAAATGTCAGTTTAGAATATCAGTATTTAAACTAAATTATAAAATCATTCAAACCTTGATGGTAAAGTAACATTAAGTAATTACCTCTGTTTCCAAAATTCTTTCCAACACCAAAACCACCCATTATGGATGTAGTCTCTCTTTTATTAGACTCGCCAGCATCTGAAAAAAGTTCAAACAGTTAAACTCTTTAAAATATAAAATTAATTGTACCATCAAAAACTAGGAATTAAGGGACCAGCAGTTGGCATAATGGCTATGTCACTAGACTCCCATGTAGTCGACCATGGTTCAAGTACTGAACCCGGTGGCCTAAACTTACACCAGGCACGTGTATGTGCATGCCCAAGATCCCAAGAGGAGAATGGAGGAGAAGGGATTGTGGCATGGCCATCCCCCCTGGGGGGTGATTTCTCATTTTCTGTCTGTCTCTCTCTGTCTTTCTGGTGAGCCACAGAAAAACTCTCCCCAACTCCTTAAAAAAAAAAAAAAAAAAAAAAAAAAAAAAGCTAGGAATTAAGTGAATCTTTGAGTTAAAAAGACCTCCAAGGATAAAAAGAGAGTGTTATAGGAAAGTAATATACCTGGAAGTTCTTGTAAATTTTGATTCTTGGTTTATCAATAATCATTGCATATGTTTGTGGGTTACAGTATGGTTTGTCAAAGCATGCATGCAGTGTGTAATAAAAGAAAGGCTCTAGACATACTCATCTTCTACACTAAACATCACATAAGTTGGGACACATTCAATAATCTACTAGTTTTTTTCTTTTTGAGGGAGGAATATATATTGAATTTTCAGAGACCTGTTTACTCAGTTGTGCTACATGGTTTCATAACCTATTCCCCTGGTTACATACGCTCTTGTTTTTATTGATCATTTTCTCCCAACTTCCCACCCTCTCAGATCTTCCATTGTCTACCATTACTCTCTATATATTTCTTTGCCATGAAGTTCTTCAGTTTCCACCTTAAAGGGTGGACATTTGGTATATGTTATATGAGGACATACAGTAAGTGTCTTTCATAGCATGCTTTTTTAAAAACTTGACAGAGGGCATGTATGCTCACTAAAGACAGACAGAAAGAAGGGGGAAAATGAGAAAGCCCCCTCCATGGGTGGGGAACAGTCACACCACAATCCCTTCTCTATTTCTCTTGCCTTCTTATGATTTTAGGCATGCATGCACATTCACCTAGCGTGTTTTTCAAGCCACTGGGTCCAGGACATGAGCCACATGTGAGAACTAGCCACATTAACTACCAGACTTGCCCACCTGGCTTATTTCACTTAGCATTGTATCATGCAGGTTTGTCCACTTTGTTTCAAAGGACAGAATTTCAGTTCTTTATGGCTAAGTAGTATTCCATTGGAACTATGTGTTACATTTTCTTAATTCATCAGTTGTTGAGCACTTAAGGCTGACTTCATGTTTTAGATATTGTAAATAATGCTGCAATAAATGTGGATGTGCAATGTCTCGCTGACATACTGATTTTCTGTCCTTTGGCTAAATACCTAAGAATGGAATTACTCGGTCATATGGTAGTTTATTTTTGGATTTTTGAGGAGCCTCCATACCATTTTCCACAGTGGCTATACCAATCTACATTCCCTCCAACAGGTATGGAAGTTCCCTGTCTTCCAGTCTCACCAGCTCTTGTTATTATTTTTTAGTTTTAATCATTATGCTATTTAACCATTTATATGTCTTTCTTTGAGAGCTGTCTATTCAATCAATTGCCTGTTTTTATTCCTTTTTTGTTTACTTTTGTTTTTGTTTTCTTTGTGCCATTGTATTTTTTATTATTATTCATACATTAAATCGCTATACATCATTTGGATTGTGAAGAGACTTTACCGAGCATGATATACACTTCAGACCAGCCCAGTTGAGACCACCATTCACATCCTCAACAGATAATAAACCTTATTTGTGTCACACAAGTGTCTTTTTTCTCCCATTTCCCCCCAAATTTCCTATGCTCTTCCCCTCTCACACTCTCTTTCCACTTAGTCTCAAGTGCCCATTAGTTTGTAATACTTTCATGTTTTCGAGTTTTTCAGTTTCTACCAGAGTACAGTTGATATGTGTTAAGTGAAGACATGCAGTGTCTCTCTTTCATATCTGATTTGCTTCACTCAGCAACAAATCCTCCATATTCATCCACTTTCTATCAAATTCCAAGGGCTTTTTTTATGGCTGAATAGTATTCCATGGGGTATATGTGCCATAGTTTTTTAACCCATTCATCTGTTTGTGGACATTTGGTTTGGTTCCATGTCTTAGCAATCATGAATAAGCCTGCAATGAATATAGATGTGCAAGCACTTTTCCAACTGAGTGCTCTCCTGTCTTTTGGGTAGATACCCAGGAGTGGAATTGCTGGAGTTCTATTTGAAGGTCTTTGAGGAACCTCCATATCCTTCTCCATAGTGGCTGGACCAATTTACATTCCCACCAACAGTGTAGGAGTGTTCCCCTTTCACCACATCCCCTCCAGTACTTATCATTATTTGCTTTTTTAATCTTCGTCATTATAACTGGGGTTAGGTGGTATCTCATTGTGGTTTTGATCTGCATCTCCATTACAATGAGGGATGTTGAGCATTTTTTCATATGCTTTTTGGCGGTTTGTAAGTCTTCCTTAGAGAGTTGTTTATTCAGCTCATTTTCCCATCTTTTAATTGGATTTATCATTTTCTTCCGGGTAAGCTGCTTGACTTCCCTGTGTATTCTGGTTATCAGTCCCTTATCTGAGGCACAGTTAACAAAAATTCTCTCCCATTCCAAGGGTTGTTTACTTACGCTAATTACATTGTCCTTTGCTGTGCAGAAACTACTTAGTCTGATGTAATCCCACCTGTCTATTTGGGAGATTATTGCCTGTGCTTTTGGGGTCTTGCTTAAGAAGTCTTTGCCTACTCCAGTGTCTCCCAGAGTTTCCCCAGAGTTTTCCACCAGTAGTTTTACAGTTTGTGGTCTTAGGTTTAGATCTTTGATCCACTTTGAGTTGATTTTTGTTAATGGTGACAGATAGGGGTTCAGATTCATTTTTACACAGGTGGATACCCAGTTTTGCCAACACCATTTGCTAAAGACGTTTCCCTTTTCCCACTAGATTGACTGGTACCCTTTGTCAAAGATGAGTTGGCTCTATGATTTGGAGTTTATTTCTGGAGTCTCTACTCTGTTCCATTGGCCCTCATGTTTATTTTTGTGCCAGTACCATGCCGTTTTTTTGTTTGTTTGTTTTTTGTTTTGGAGAGGTTTTTGATAGAAAGCAAGAAATCACCCCCCGGGGGGATGGCCACACTGCAATCTCTTCTCCACCATTCTCCTCTTGGGACCTTGGGCACACAGGCACATGTGCCCAGTGTGAGTTTTAAGCCACCGGGTCTGAGACGTGAACCGCCATCGACTACATGGGAGTCCAGAGAAATAGCCATTACACTAACTGCTGTCCCCCCCCCCATGTTGTTTTGATTATTACAGCTTTGCAATATATTTTAGGGTCAGGGAATGAGATGCCACCTACTCCAGTCTTCTTCCACAGTATGGCTTTAGCAAAACGGGGTCCTTTATGGTTCCAGGCAAATTCTATGATTGTCTTTTCTAGATCTGTGAAGAATATCTCTTGTAATTTTAGAGGGATTGCATTAAACATGTAGATTAATTTGGGTGGATTGCCATTTTTATTATATTGATTCTGTCAATCCAGGAACATGGGATGTCCTTCTACTTTTTAGTGACCTTTTCCACTTCCTTTTTAAGGTTTCCATAGTTTTCCTTGTAGAGGTCTTTGACTTCCTTGGTTAGTTTTATTCCTAAGTATCTTATACTTCTTGTGGCTATGGTAAATGGAATTGTTTTTGTTTTTGACATAGGGCTCACATGCTTGCTGAAGAAATTGAGAGAGAAAGAAAGTGAGAAATCACCCACCAGGGGGAATGGACATGCCTCAATCCCCTCTCCTCCATTCTCCTCTCAGAATTTTGGGCACACATGCAGACTCACTGGCCTATCTTCCAAGCAGCCATGTGACCAGGAATTTAACTGTACATGCAGCCATATGGGATACAGCCACCTAAACCACCACACCACCTGTCTGGCCCTAAGTTGCCCATATTTTTTTTTTTTTTTGAGAGGTTTTCGCTATAGCGTGTGCTCCCCAGACAGAAAGAGAGACATAGAGACAGAAAGCGAGAAATCACCCCCCAGGGGGGATGGTCACGCCGCAATCCCTTCTCCTCCATTCTCCTCTAGGGATCTTGGGCATGCACGCACACGCGCCCGGCGTGAGTTTTAAGCCACCGGGTCCGGGACGCGAACCGCGGTTGACTACGTGGGAATCCAGCGACATAGCCATTACACTAACTGCTGGTTCCCATTGCCCATATTTTTAACTGGATTTTTAGTTTATGGGTAAGCTATTTTAGTTCCTCTTAATATTCTGGTTATCAATCCTTGTCTGAAGTACAGTATGCAAATATTTTCTCTAATTTGCAACTTGAAAATAAAACCTCTGCGGTCAGCAGGTGGTGTAACGGTTACATCACTTAATTCCCACATAGTTGAGGATGGTTCAAGTTCCAGACCTGGCAGCTTCAAACTTATGCTGAGCATGTGTGCATGCATGCCAAAAATCTCGAGGAGAATGGAGAAGAAGGGATTGTGACATGGCATCCCCTCTGAGGGATGATTTCTACTACTGGTAAAATACAGCTCTCTATTCGTTATTATTTTATTGAAGACTTTTAATCAGGAAATTTGGGTCAGCCAGTGACATGGAGGTTAAGGTGACTGTATTCCACATGGGCAAATGGTTCAAGACCTAGACCCAGCAGCTTGAAAAGCATGGTGAGCCATCCTCCCTGAGCAGTGCTTTCTCATTCCTCACATCCCTCTGGTGGGTGCATGCACTCTTGTAATCAATTTTTTTTTTTTTTAATCAGAAAACTCTACGTTTTCTTCTATACAGAGTCCTCATCCTAATAGAGCCATGAATTAAACTCTGCCCCTGTGGGAAGTAACTGTTATTAAAATTTTATACTCATATTTTCATTTTTTAAAACATCCATTCATACATTCATTCATTCATTCACTCATTTGTCATGATTTTCAAGCTGCCCTGTCTGGGACTTGAACCACGGCAATGTGGGAATCCAACAACTTAACCACTTGTACTTTTTTTAACCATTCTATTTATTTTTCTAGTACTTAGTCTCTCAACATTTCCACTTTTAAAATTAAAATTAGCGTCTATATAAGACCAACCAAAAATTAAAAAAAAAAAAAAGCTATGAACACAACTCCCCTTTCATACCTCCATCTCTCCATACTATTCCCCCTTATTAATCTTCTTAGCTTCATTATCCATACTACACAATTGTGAAAATGCAACAATTGAATTCACGCCAAACAATTTACCATTTTGCACACTGTGAACTTCTAATAAGTTGCACCTTTCTACATGCTATCCTTTCAGCAAGGCATTCCCTGCTTTCCAATTTTTTTGTCAAAATTCTTTTCCTTTTTTAATTTGTCAGAGGGAGGGGAAGAAATCATTACCAAATGGGGCATGGTCACACTATAATCCCCTCTCGTCTATTTTTGTCACCCTGTTGGGATTTGAGGCACATATACACATGCACCTACAAGGTTTTTCAAGTTTCTAGGTCTGGGACTCAAATCATGCAGCTGGCCATGTAGGACTTGGTTCCTTTACTAGACCGCAAGGCCAGACCTTAAAATTCTTTTAACTATTTAGAAGACCAGTTCTTCTGTGAAGTCTCCCTTCAGGCCACCAGTCACAATTAACCTTCCCTCCATAATCCCACAGCATACTATCTGTATCTCTTTTTTAGTAATGTTTCTTTCCACTTTTTTTTTTTTTCTGGAGAGGTTTTTGCTATAGGGTGCATGCGCTCGTCACAAAGACAGAGAGAGACAGAGAGACAGAAAACGAGAAATAACCCCAAGGGGTGATGGCCACGCCACAATCCCTTCTCCTCCATTCTCCTCTGGGGATCTTGGGCATGCACACACGCAGGCACATGTGCCCGGTGTGAGTTTAAGCCACCGGGCCTGGGACTCAAATCACAGTCAACTAAATGGGAGTCCAGCAACATAGCCATTATGCCAACTACTGATCCCTCCACATGTTTTTCTATCACTACATTATGAATCTGGCAGACAGATGCAAGGCAAGAAACATGGTCATTTTAAAAAGTGACCAGCAGGTGGCATGGTGGTTAAGGGCTCAAGATTTCCACATGGCTGACCATGATTCGAGTCCCTGACCTGGTGGCTTCCTTTCTCAATCCCCTGCTTCCCTGTCCCTCTTTCTCTCTCAGTCTGCCCCTCTCTGGCCAAATTAAAATAAATAAAGTTAAATGAAATTATTCTTTTTTTAAAAAATGGAATATCATAAACATTCAAAAACAGTATAAACTGATACTCTGAACTACCACTGGGAGAAATTAAGGCATTTTCTACAAACTCTGTAAATTTACCTATCTCTGTAATACCCTAATATAGGGTAAGAATTAAAAAGGATCTATAAAACTCTTAAAATGATACCAGAAATTCAGCATGCACAGAGTGTTTTTAATGAGTTTTAAAGATGTTTATGATTCAAGAAAGTTGAAGCTACATAGCTATACTTCATAGAACATGAAAAATAAACTGTTACATTTTAAGAAATTATAAGTCATCTTCAAAAATATATCACTAGCTATGTAAGTTCTATTGAGAAAAAGTATCACAGAGATTGAAACTATATAAAACTCATGGGTCTATGAAATGGCAAGACTACACCTAGTATAACATTATAAAATATTAACATTTAACAGTTTTATCAGAAATATAATGCATGGGACCAGCAGTTAGTGTATGGCTATGTTGCTGAACTCACATGTAGTCAACCGTGGTTCGAGTCCCGGACCCGGCGGCTTAAACTCACATCAGGCACGTGTGCGTGTGTGCCCAAGATCCCGAGAGGTGAATGGAGAAGGAACTGCGGCGTGGCTATCCCCCCAGGGGGTGATTTCTCGCTTTCTGTCTCTCTCTCTCTCTCTTTCTGGCGAGCGCATGCTCCCTATAGCAAAAACCTTTCAAAAAAAAAAAGAAAGAAAAGAAATATAATGCATACTTCAACCTAAAATATATGGAAATAATTGGTGGTGAAAGCTGTCTCAGTGATGATTTCTTCAATGAAAAATATTTTATTCAATAATGTTTAAAAGTCTGAGTCTAAAAGGATCAATCAAATCCTCTTCTAAAAATGAGATAAAAAGGAGCTAGCGCATAGTGTAGTGATTAAGGTGTCAGACTCCCCCATATGACAGAGCACAGTTCCAGTCCCAGATCCAGTGGCTAAAAATATCACACTGGGTATGTGTTCACGCATGCCCAAAATCCCAGGAAGACAGTGGAGGAGAAGGAATTGTGGCATGGTCATTCCTCCTAGGGGTGATTTTTTACTTTCCCACTCTGTCTCTGGAGATGGTACACACCCTATAACCAAAAAATAAATAAAATACTAAATATATCTCAGCATAATATTAAGATATTGGTTGCCAGAAAAGTCATGACACATTTTTGCATAGAAAAAAAATACATCATGACTTTTCTAACAACCCAATATTTATTTTTTTAATGTTAGCAGCAGCTAACAAAACCCATATCTGAACCTCTTGGCATAATTACATGGTCTAAATCAGCAATGCACCTTACTTAATATGTAGTCTTAAATAAAATATGCATGCATAGGCAAAGAATAAATTATTTCCAACAGTAGAAGGAACATATGAAAATTTAAAACTCAAATTTGTGTTGTCAAATTAAGTTCTCCAAATTTCAAATTAAATACCACATATCAACCTCTAGTTTCTGGTAATGATAAAAATATCCAGAAATAGCAATAAAGTTTTTCAAGAAATAACATATTTCATTAACCCAAAGATTAGTGTCTCATTTATTTAAACTACAAAACTACCCAAGTTATGACATCCCCTTAAAAAAACAAAAGGTTGGGCCAGCTACATGGTGTAGTAGTTAAGGCAGCTGGATCCCACATGGCCAACTGTGCAGTTCAAGGTCAAGACCACGTGGTATGAAAAACACACTGGATTCACATGCATCCAAAAGAATGGAGGAGAATAGATTGTGGAATGCCTATCCCCCACCCCGCCCCACCCCCGAGCATGATTTTTCATTTCCTTCTATCTCTCTCTCTCTCTCCCTGCCCCATGAACACATACACCCAGGAGCAAACCAATATAGTTATTGCACTATAATAAAATACACTGCAGAATTTTTTCAGCATTTAATACCAAGCTAAAAATTGTACTGCAAGAAGGTTGTTAAGTTGTATCATTATCAGTCAAATTGAATACTGGTGCTTAAAAGTAAAATTTTAAAACTCGAACTTGGAAAAATAACTTCCAACTTCATACTAATGAGCTATCAAAAATATATCCTATACCGCCTTTTCTTGAGACATATAAAACTCAAGAGATACTTTTCACTCCAATCACTAAAGCCTTTTTCCTTCCATGTCAGTTTTTGTAAATCAATAAATACATCAAGTAGCAGTTCTATGAAGCATCTGTCTAACTAATCCGATTGGCCAATTTACTTAACTATATTTTCAATGATCCCAAAAAATAAAAACATCAGAGAGAACACCAGCATTCGAAAAAGTGAAGAACTCATTAAACCAACAGAGTCTGCTATATAATGTGTTATAACAGACTTAGTTTTGGATCAACTAGCCATGAAAGACTATTCATGCTATGATTCAATAGTTTAGTATATTAAAGACAAAGATACTTACCTCTGTTTCCCAAACTCCTCATAGAGGCAAAGCCACTTCTCATGAAATGATCCCTGCGAGAAGGTCCATCCATTTCTAAAGCAAATTAGTATTTTGAAGCAAGTCAAATTAAAACAAGTTTCTAGGTAACATGAAAACTTCAAATCTTTTCAATGTGCTACACATGTCAAAGGAGGATTTTTTTGTTGTTTAGTTTGCTATAGGGCATATGGACTTGCAGGATAGGGGGGTGAGAAATCATCCCCCAGAGAGGATGGCCAGACTGCAATCCTTCTCCTCCATTCTCCTTTTGGGATTTGGGCACCCACGCACTTCCCCCAAGTGTTTTCCAAGTCACAGGATCTAGAACTCCAAATGCACAGCTGGCCATGTGGGACCCAGAACCCTTAACCACCACACCACAAGTTGGCCCCAAAGGAGGAATTTTTTTATATAGCAATAAGAAGACAAAGAGTCTAACAGAAAAATAAGGTGATTCTCTGAAAGAAAGAGTTTGACGAAATCTAACTCATAATTCCAGAATTGAAAATCAAAAGAAAGATACAGCAATTTTTTTTTTTGAGAGGTTTTCGCTATAGGGCGCATGCGCTCGCCAGAAAGACAGAGAGAGATAGAGAGATAGAAAGTGAGAAATCACCCCCCAGAGGGGATGGCCATGCTGCAATCCCTTCTCCTCCATTCTCCTCTCGGGATCTTGGGCACGCACACATACGCGCCCGGTGTGAGTTTAAGCCGCCGGGTCCAGGACTTGAACCGTGATCAACTACATGGGAGTCCAGCGACATAGCCATTATGCTATCTGCTGGTCCCGAGATACAGCAATTTTCAAACATATAACTGAACAGAAAAGTTTTAAGTTTACTGATAACCGAAATACCCAAGGACACAGAGATATAAGCACAACCCACACACTGTGAATATAAACTGGATAAATCTTAACCTCAATTTAAATTAAAGGCATATACTTTTTGAAAGTACACTAATACAATTAGTATACTCTCCCCTCTTGGCCAGCTATAGCCCTCTTGGCCAGCTGTAGTGGCACAGCAATGATGCAATGATCCGTGATGCTGAAGCCACATGGGAAGGTCACAGGTTCACATCCCAAGGTCTCCCTGTATATACTGAAGTATACATGCAGGTCCTGGTTGGCTGAAGCTGGAGGTAGATAGCAAGGTCAAGAGTCTCTTGAATGTTCCTGTCTGTCTTTCTCACAGAATAAACTTCAAAAGAAAGGAATTTCTCTTCTAAATATAATCCCATGGTTACACATATACACCCAAGATTTTTTTATAAGCACTGTCTATGATAGCAAAAAACTGATCAAAGAAGAAATTATGGTAATCCATAGATGATCTTACACTTTAATATCATAGAAATATGTAACACTTAACATTAAAGAACTGACTGACACTCTCCAACAAGAGAATGTATACATAAACTGTTCATCCAGAGCCATTGGTGTTAAAGGAGCTGGATTCCATACAGCCAACTGTGCAGTTCAAGTCCCAAACCCAGTGACTTAGAGGCTTGAGAAACACATCAGGCATGTGTGTGCATTTGCAAATATCCTGAAAAGGAAGGAGAAATGAAGGATAAGATTACGGTGTGATCATTTCTGCCCTCTTGGCCTCTCAAATTTAAAAATAAATAAATGAATAAAACTGGCCATGTAGAAGGACTCAATGTAAGTTCAACAACACACATCAAAATCATTATCATATACACAAAATTCTCTATATCACGATGCACTCAAAGCATAAGTTATTAAACACAAAACAAAAACAAAAACTTACTAGAAATCCCCTTACGTTTGGAAATGTATTTTTAAAACACTTCGAAGCCCAACCACTGTGGCACAGCAGTAATCAGTGGCCTGCAAGCTTGGAACCATGTGGCTGACTGTGGGTTCAGATTTCCAAGCCCACCTAAAAATACACCAAACATATGCACAGTTGCCCAGGATCCCGATGAGCTGGAGGGCTAAGGAAAAGGAATCACAGAGTGGCAAGGCCCTGTCAAGGGTGCTTCTCTCTTTGTGTGCAGGAGCACACATTTTAAAATAAAAAAGGAAACAAAAAAAAATCACAAGGGGGAACTTAAAATTGTATGATAGAAATGTTACTTACCAGTATTTAAATATTTATGCTAGAAAATAAGAATTCAGGCCAGCCTTGTAGCTAGGTGGTTAAGGCAGTGGGATCCCAACATGGTCAACTGCTATTTGAATCCCAGTCCCAATGCTTGGAGAATACACTATGCACATGTGCACACAAGCTCCAAAACATGACAGGATGGAGAAACAGAGAAGGAACTGCGGCATGACTATGTCCCACTAGGGAGTGCTTTCTCCTCTCTCTCTCTCTCTCTCATCTCTGCCTCTCCGGCTCTTTGTCTCTGCCATCTCTTCTTTTTATCTCCATCTCTTCATTTCTCTGTCATCTCTGTTTCTGTCAACTCTCTTTCTGTCTCTGTCATATCTCTCCCTGTGTTTTTCAGCCAAACACACATGCCCTCTGGCAATTAAAAAAAATACTAAAAGAACTTAATTGAGCTAATAGCCATCTGAAAAAATAAGAATGTTACAAAAAAGAACCAAGTAAATTACACAAAAGTAAAAGAATAAAGAGCAGAAACTAATAAAACAGGCAACTGGGCCAGCAGATGGCATGGAAGTTAAGGTACTGGATCCCACAAAGTCGACTGCTCAGTTTGAGTCCTGGACCCAGTGGCTTCAAAATCACATTGGAAGTGTGAGAGTGCATGCCCAAAATCCCAAGAGGAGAATGGAGGAGAAATGATTGAGGAGTGGCCATTCCCTTGTGGAGAGACAGAGACAAAGTGAAAAATCACTCCACCCTCCCAGAGGGAATGTGTCCTCCATTCTCCTCTTTGGAATCTTGGACACACATGCACACATGGCTGGCGTGAGTTTCAAGCCTCTGGGTCCAGAACTCTAACTATCACCAGCCAGGTGGAAGTGCATTATGTCATCTTCTGATGCCAAAAATATTTTTTTAATTAAAAATAAAGATCAGGACTCAGAATATCAAATTTCTTGGGACTAGCAGATGGCATAATGGTTACATTGCTGGACCCCCACATAGGGACAACTCAAAATCCCAAGAGGAGACAGAGGAGAAGGTATTATGGCAGGGCATCCCTTCTGGGGGTGGGGGGTGTGATTTCTCACTTTCTGTCTCTCTGTCTCTCTCTCTCCAGCAAGCACACACACCCTATAGCAAAAATCTCTCAATAAAAAAAAAAGAATATCAAATTTCTCTACAGTATCACTAGCATTTCATATACAATCAAGCAACATAAAAAATTCAAGGTGAAAATTATTTCCAAACTAAAATTTTAAACTATCAATCAAGAATGAAGGTACAAACATTTTCAATCTCTCAAATGTACTTCCTTTCTCAGAAAGTTAAAAGAAAATAGGCGCTACCAAAGTGCCAAGAGGGGATAAGATCAGATCACAGTAGCACTGAAAATTCAATACAGGAAGAGATTAAGTACATGAGACTGAACTGATAAAATAGAATTTTATGACTTTTGACTAAAATATTACTGATTTTTTTCTATGCTTTGTCTTCCAAACTTAAGGATTTTTGTCTTCTCTTGAACTGTTAACAGGTTCATCTACCTACTGTTTGAAGTGAATCCAACCCTTTCTCCTGGCTTTACGTCTTAAGCAAATTTCCCTTAACATTTCTTAAATTTTGATCTATTAAAACTAAAACTATTTCCTTGAAATTAAAAAAATGCATTAAAAAATATCTATTTGGGAACCAGCAATTAGCGTAATGGCTATGTCGCTGGACTCCCACGTAGTCGACTGTGCTTCGCATCCCGGACCCAGTGGCTTAGAACTCACGCCGGGCGCGTGTGCGTGCGTGCCCAAGATCCTGAGAGAATGGAGGAGAAGGAATTGCGGCGTGACCATCTCCCCCCCTGAGGGTGATTTCTCGTTTTCTGTCTCTAGGTCTCTCTCTGTCTGTCTGGCGAGCGTACGTGCCCTATAGCGCCTCCCAAAAAAAAAAAAAAATCTATTTAATGACTGCAGTAACCTATATAGCCCTAGCTAGGTGCTACTTTAGAGTATGTTCATTCTACTCATTGAGGTTTATGCCTAAATTCAGACATGTGTTCGCAGATAGGTATATATCAACTGTGCTAGCTATTGAAAGTACTTAGATTAATTAAGATCTTTAGTGAATCAATAAACTGTGGGGGGGGAAATAGGCATAGAATGTAACTGTACATACCAGACCCAGTGTGGGAGGAGGGGGGGAAATGATAGAGTGGGAGGGAGGGGGGGGGGGGGGGGGGGGGGGGAGGGAGCAAAATATCTAAGAAATAGGAAATGGAAAATTATTTGTGGACAAAAATACATATGGTAGTAACCTTGATTGAGCCAATATACAGTGTATTCTGGATGGAAAATCTCATTTTGTATACTGTAATGAGGTACAGTGAATGAATATAAATAAATTTTAAATTATAAAAAGTATAGTAACCCAAATTCATAGACTCAAAATAAATTCACAGTAACTCACATTCACTGGAATTACAATAGAATGTGGTAGTCAGTGGCTAGGAAGAGGATGAAAGGGAATGCTATTATTTAATGGATATAGAGTTTCAGTTTGTAAAAATGAAAAATTTCTGGATGATGTCTGACAGTTACACAGCAATATGAACTGCACACTTTAAAATGGCAAAAATGGAAAATTTTATATTACATATATTTTACCACTATAAAAAGAAATGTATACTTATATTTATATTTAACATAGTAGCAATCACAATTCAGCCTGTTTTGGACTTAAAGTGGAAGGCTACTGCCATAAATTTAACTTCAAATCCAAGTCCTACCACTTCCATTCATCTTCTCACCCACTTCAACACCATAAAAGAGAACTGAACAACTCAGGTGAAACAAATGTGAAGAGCAGGTGTGGGAGACGGCAGCAGCAGAAATACGGGCTTCTTTATCTTGATACTAATTTCTCTTATTATCTGGGACTTTCCTAGGATAGTTTCCTGATCCATAGAAATTCATTATCTCTTTATGGTATGGGAGGTTTGGGTTAGCTAGTTATCCTGATAAGTCACCATGACTATAACCTGCTTCAACAACCTTACAGGTCAGTGTTATATCAGGAACTCTGACAATGACCTAACAGCCTAGAAGCCAAACATGCACCTTCCAGGTGGTGCAAAGGTTTTATAGTAACCAACAATAAGTCAAATAACAGAGTCTATGGAACTGCATTCTTCCCTTCCTCTAGCTGGAAGCATCCCATTCCAAAATACCAAAATCAGAATGAATTTTCACTAAGAAATTTTAAAAACACATTCAATTAGGCCAGGTGTGGCAGTACGGTGTAACACAACACTCTGCAATGGTGAATCCAAGGGGGAAAGTCCCAGCTTTGCATCAAGGACTCCCTGTACACACAGTCACTATGATCTGGGGGCTGGCTGAGGCTAGAGTTGGAATCTTGGCATGAAAATTGAGTTGCAGGTGCCTCCCTCCCTCCCTCCTTTCCTCTTCCTGTCTGGAACTCTCATGGAAAAAATTAACTTAAAAATAATAAAGGCCAGTAGGTAGCATAATGGTTAAGGAACTGGACTCCTGCATGACTGGCTGCAGCTCAAGTCCCAGACCCAGCAGCTTGAAAATCACACCAGTGCCATGTGTATGCTTACCCAAAATCCCAAAAAGAGAATGGAAAAGAGACTGTGGCATGGCCATTCCCCCTGGGGGTGGGGGTGAGTTCTCCCTTTCTCTCTGTCTCTCCAGCAAGCACATATGTATCCTATAGCAAAACTCTCTCTCTCAAAAAAAAAAATGCCTTCTATAAGATATCTACTCATTCATCTCATTTGTTCCTCGTTCACCACATGTAACCCTTTACCTAAAAGGGTTTTTTGGTAGGTTTTTGTTTGTTTGTTTAAATTGGTCTTTTTGAGCCACTCCTCCTCTGTCTACTCAGGCTCACTTTTACTTCTCAGGAATGTTCTTTTACTTTTATTTAATAAACCACCTTTTCCTTAGACTACTTGAGTGTTTCATTCAATTCTTTGTCCAAAACCACCAAGAACCTGCATATCACAGAAGCCATCGCACAACATATATTGTGACAAGCCAGGTCAGGAGTTGGGATGGGCCAGCCAAGACCCTCATGAGCCAAGGGGAAGAAATCCTGAACTGAGAAAGCCCAAGGAAATCCTCTGTGCCCCTGTCCAGAGAAGTCATCATAACCACCAAGAAACCCCAGGTAAATTGGTACATCACAGAGACTAAAATTGCAAATGACCATACAACAGGGATATCAACTCCTTGGAACCTCCACTGAATTCTACTGCAAGTCACCCAGCACCAACAACAACTCTCTCAACAACATACCTGGGTACTATCTCAATAACCTGCCTCTTGCCTCACTCTCTCACCTAGATCAGACAGGGTGTTCCATAATCCCCAATAGGTAAAATCAACACCCCTTTCCAGCATGAACCAGTTACAGAAGACCAACCACCCACCTTCAGCTCCACAAAGAGATTTATGGGGATCATGCTCTCAGGGGAAAATGGGGCAGGATGGAAGTGAGAAAGGGGCCTGGAGCACCTTCCCATGTGGCAAGAAAGAAAAACTTATCATGGCAGAAAACTCGCTACCCATGGCAATATGAGTAAGCAGGGGATTAGTGGAGGATGTCTAGCCAATTGAGTGACATTTGATATAGCAAATCAGATGAATCAGTGGGCCTAGCCACATTTGATAGAACCAATAAGATAGAAACAATCAGTGGGCCCAGACAATAATCAACAAATATGACCTAGATTAAAAATTATAAACCTTGAGACCAGCAGTTGGTGTAATGGCTATGTCGCTGGACTCCCATGTAGTCGACTATGGTTCGAGTCTGAGACCCAGTCGCTTAAACTCATGCCGGGTGCATGTGCATGTATGCGTGACCAAGATTCTGAGAGGAGGATGGAGGAGAAAGGATTGTGGCATAGCCACACCCCCTGGGGGGTGATTTCTCACTTTCTGTCTCTCTGTCTCTATCTTTCTGGCAAATGCACATGCCCTATAGCAAAAACCTCTCCCCCTCCTTAAAAAAAAAAAGATAATGAAAAAAAATTATAAACCTCACAGAATCCAACTGCAGGGGCCTTTTTGAGTCACTCCTTCTGTCTGCTCAGGATCACTCCTCAGGAATGTATTTTTACTTTTACTTAAAAAACTGTTTTCCTTACCAAAAAAAAAAAAACTTTAACACATACCTGATGATGTAGTTGGAGTCCTGTTAAAAGTATCACCATTTGCTCCAGAAGGATATCTATCCTGTAAGAAGGAAGAAAAGACTAGTTTCTATTTTTGAATAAGACTGTATTATGTGCTTCACAAATACTAGAAAACTAAAAACTGAGCTTTGTTCAGAACAAAACAAATCAGACTGTAAGATTTTTCTGGATCACTGAACATTCCTTTATTAATTATTAATTATTAGGTCATCAGGAAAGTCATGACGCATTTTAGAATAACACGTCATGACTTTCCCGATGACCTAATATTCCAAGAAATCTTCAATATTGTATATACAACATATTAATATATCACTTTAAACAGTGGTCAACAAATACAGCCATGGGCCAAATCTGCTGGGCCACCTGCTTCTGTGAACAGTTTTAGTGAAGCACAGCCATCCCCATCCATCTAGCTGCACCTATGGCTCTACCAGCACTTACAACAGCAAAGCTGTGGGCAGAATGCAAAGCCTGTAAAGTCTAAATGATTTATTATCTATTCCTTTACAGAAAGAGTTTGCTCACAACTAACTGAAAAAAAGTTTAATGATTAAGTCACTCACATACTTGAAAAGTATAAACAACCACTATTATTATAAGTAAAATCAGACTAAAGTAATACACAACTGAGTCAATGCTTGACATTACACAATATGCGGGTTGAGCACTCCTAATCTGAAAATGAAAAATTTGAAATGCTCCAAAATCTGACATGATATACCACAAGCAGAAAAATTCTACATCTGACCTCATGCTGTGGGGCAGGGGAGGGGAGTTTGCAATCAAAACACAGGTGCACCAACACACAGTTTATTCAGCATCCCTAAGGAGAAAAAGAACTCTCCCAACTCTCCAGCTGCAATATACAGTATCTTTTCCACACATAGATGAAATCCACACAAATATGCCCACAAGTTTTCATACATGAAATTATTAAAAATACTGTATAAAATTACTTTCAGGCTATGTATATAAGGTATACATGAAACAAATCAATTTTATATTTAGATCTGAGTCCAATGCCCGAGATATCTCATTATGTAGGTACAAATATTCTACAGTCTGGCAAAGTCCAAAATGCTTCTGGTCCCAGATGTTTTGGATAAGGAATGCTCTATCTGTAGTTTGCAAAGTTTTATATTTTCCAGTAGACTCCTCAAAACTGTACATAGCAAAGTAGAATCAAGAACATTACTGGGTAACACAGTTTCTACAATAAACTACCACAGAAATTGTCAAAACATCCATTATGTTCATGTAAAGTCACTGTAGTCGCATTTTATCAAAAGGATTTCACACTCAAGTAAATTTTAAAAAATCACTTTTGCATGGAAAATAACTTATCTCTATATCCATCCTGCCACAAAATCCAATGAAGTGGTATATTATCAGTTCTAGGGTCAGAATGTTCATGTCAATCAAACTTGTCACAGCAGTAGCTAAAGATAGTCACTGATGTTCTCAAATACGGACTCTTCCTTTTCCCTTACATCCGTATTCTCTATTAACACAGTATTCTCTATTACCACTTCACTATGCTGGCAGTGGTAGAGTGACGACTGGATTTAGAAATTCAACTTTTGTTATAAAATCAATGGTTGAATTCCATTTTTTTTTGAAGCTCCATCAACTTTAAATAGGATAATCTCAGAGTCCTATATTGGATACATTAAGTCAGATTGGCAAAGGTCAAAAAGAGAATTTTTTATATACACACACACATATATTATGTATAAAATACACACACACATTATTTAAACATTCGATCACTATACATCACTTGGCTTGTCAACAGAATTTACCCAACGTGAAATACTTCCCAGATTACATTTTTTTCCAGGTTTTTGCTATAGAGTATATGTGCTCACCTGAAAGAGAGAAAGACAGGAAGCGAGAAATCACCCCCCAACAGGGATGGCAATGCTGCAATCCCTTCTCCATTCTCCTCTCAGGATCTTGGGCACGCACACACAAGTGCCCAGCTTGAGTTTAAGCCGCCAGGTCCAGGACTCAAACTGTGGTCAACTATGTGTGAGTCCGGTAACTTAACCATTACGCCATCTGCTGGTCCCCCCAAGTTTTTGAAATCTTCCAACATTTTCTTGGACTAAGCGCTGGGTTAACAACAGTTGGAGTAATTTTTTCTCACTTTTAACTCCTAGTGTGTCCTTATCATCATTTATCTACTCCTTTATTTTCTCTCATTTAAGATTACTCTAAAGTAAAACCTTCTGAATAGAGCTCTGAAATTCTAACCCATGACAATCAAAATTTAATAACTGAACAATGAAATGTGACCCAAAATGTGCAGATGATATAATCAACTGACTGCACAGAAGAGTTACAATGATTCTTCAGTTAAGTTGGCTTAAATAAGTTAAAGCTGGAAAGAG